TTTTTCTTTTCCTGGTCACTAATTGCAATCTTATCTTCTATATCTGAAATCTTGTCCTCACATTGGCTCGTTCTGCTGTGTAGACTTTCAATGGAGTTTTTAATCTCCTGGAAACCTGTTTGTATCTGTTTTATGGATTCCATTTGTTTTCTATGTTGGAATTCCATCGTGTTCTTCAGCTCCTCTATTTTCTTATCTGTGTCCTCTCTAGATTTATTAATCATGTCTTGTACTATGGGCACAATCTCTGCTGTTAATAGAGAAATTATTTCTCATTTCATTTTTTCCAGATCCTCTTTTGTTGCCAGTTCAGGGAGTCCAGGTGGTTGAGTATCAGAGTGTTGCATCTCATTTCCCTTTGGGGTTGCTGTAGGTGATCTGGAAGTCTGGTTTTGAGACTTATTTAAGTGTCTTCTCATTTCGACGGGGTTGGGGGAGAAGGGGTGTGCAGTTGGCGCCCATGTGGCTCACCTCCTGTGGGCTGGGAGCGGTGGAACGGCGGCCCGGAAGCCCCTACCTCTAGAAAAGGCATTTTTCTCCCCTACACACATAAATGATTAAGACCATGCCTCCGACCAGTAATCTCAGTGGAAGACCTCCAAAATGATATAGGGAGAAAAGATGTAATTCCTGAACCTGCTAGATATTTGAAACGCAAGTTCGTGTTCTCTAAAATCAAAGAATGAATTCTAGGAACAACGGAAGTTAAGAGTAGGAAATATTTACTGGGAGAAAGAAAGCTTCTGCCTAAGAGACACAGAAGGGGGACCAGAAAGTGGGTTGCCCCGAATTTTTTTTTTTTTTACAGTCTTAGGGCTTGAACTAGGACCTCTCAGGTACTAAGCAAATGTTTTAACACTGAACTAAATCCCAAAATGCATTCTTTTTTTTCATTACTAGGGATTGAACCTAGGGCCTCCTCACTGAGCTACATGACCAGGCCCTTTTCTTTTTAATTTTTTTTTGGGGGGGTGGGTACTGGGGATCAAACTCGGGTCTTGCGCTTGCACAGCAGGTGGTGAAACCACTGAGCTAAATCCGCGGCCTTTTCTTTTCAAGTTTGAAACAGAGTATCACTTAGTCTGTAACTGTAGCAAATGCTTGAGATAATCATATTATAAAGAGGAAAGGTTCCTTTTGGCTCATAGTTTTTGAGGTTCCGGCTGTGGTCAGGTGGACCATGGCTGTTAGGGCTCTGGTGGGGCACCGGCTGAGCCAGTGAGGAATGCATGGTGGAGCAGAACTGTTCTCCTCGGGCATAGAGAGCAAGAGAAACAGAGGAAAAGGCTGGGGTCCCACAGCCCCTTCAGGAGCACCCCCTCCAGGGAACCTAAGATGATCTCCTGGTAGCTGCAACTCTCAGGCTCTGCAGGCGCCCAGCAACAGAACCCTGAAGATGCAGATGATAGCAAGATGTTTTATTTAACTGCCGGTTTGTTGTATGACTTTGTCTTTACACATATGATACAGGGACCTCCTTTTATATTCCTGTCTTAGACAGTCTATGGTTGCCAGCTTTAGCAAATAAAAACACAAATGTCCAGTTGAATTTTAATTTCAAAGAAACAATGAATAACAGTTTCAGTATAAGTGTGTTCCATGCAATATCTGAAATGTACTTAAACATTATTCATTGTTTATCTGAAATTCGAATCTATTGGGTATCCTAGACTTTAGCAAGCAACCCTACCTGGATTCCTAAAATAAAAGGGGGCAGACTGGCCTGCAGACAATTCTTGTCTGCTGAGAATTCTTTTTATTTATTTTTTTCCTCAGACAGGGCCTCACTATGTAGCCCAGCTGGCCTTGAACTTGCCATCCTCCCATCTCAGCCAGCCAAGTAGCTGAGATTACAGGCATGTGCCACCACATGAGGCTGTGTAGCTGCTTTTGCATGTGCATCCTAGTGTACATACGCAAGGGTCTTGGTGGGAGGACTAAATTTAATTTATTTATTCTTGCAGTACTGAGGATCGAACCTAGGGGTACTCTACCATGGAGCTACATCCCCAGCCCTTTTTATTTTGAAACAGGGTCTCACTAAGTTGCCCAGGTTTGGACTCCAACTTGAGATCTTCCTGCCTCAGCCTACCAAGTAGCTGTGACTACATGCAGCAACTCTAGAGTTTAAATTAAACTCTAAATTGGATAAGGGACCAGGGATTTAGCTCAGTAGTGCTGCACCTGCCTTGCAAGTGCAAGGTCCTGAGTTTGATTGCCAGTACCAAAAAAAAAAATTACCTGGATATAGAGATTAAATAAGCACCCAAGTAGGATGCATTGAACAGACTGGAGTCCGCACTTCCAAGTTACATGAATAAGGGCTGGAGGTGTGGCTCAGTGATAGAACACATGCTTTGCATGTATGAGGCCCTGGGTTCCAGGCCCAGCAATGTGAAAATGAAGACAAAAATAAAGAACCCAGATTTCACATTAGTGACTCTTGTTGAAGTTGAAACCAGAAAACTATTTTCCTGTGAGAACCTACAGTTTTGTTCTTTTTTGTTTCTTTTTACTTCAATTTAGATGTCATAGGCTTTTAGCTTGTGGATTTCCAAAGTTCCCAGTTTTAGGAAAAGACAAACACAAAGCAGCCGTCTTCGGTGATCTCAATCTTTCTTTTATACAACCAGTTCCATGGTGTCCGCTGGTGGCTACGTCAGCTCAGCTGAATGCACCTATAATTACGGCCTCTGTGCGCGGGAAGCAAGGCTTGCACAGGAGGCAGGAACAGCCCCTGTGACCCAGATAATTTGTTTCCAAGTGAAACAACTGTAATTAGGCCATTCATGGTGTTTTCCTGGAGAAAGAACTGAGTGAATATATGAAAAGATTTTTAAAAGACCAACATGTATGTATCCGGGGGAGCAGTGCAGATGCAAAATAATCTAAAGTTTTGCTTCACTGTTTCTCCACCCCTGTTCTTGTTCTGTACGAAACTTATATTTAGTAACATAACACTAAGCTCCCCTTTAGACAGAGAGCTGCTCTAAGAGTAAAGGATAGAAAAGTTTTAGAAAAAAACCCAGGGAATAAACAAAATTTATTTTGGTTGGGAAAAGCCTTTTAAAATAAATTCTAGCCAGAAGTTATGGTGCCCACTTATAATGCCAGCACTTTGGGAGGCTAAGGCAGGAGGGAAGCAAGTTGAGGCCCAGCCTGGGCAATTTAGTGATTTAGTGAGACCTTCTCTCAAAAAAAAAAAAAAAGAAGAAAGAAAAAAAAGAAAAAGGCTGGGGAGTCACGTGAGCCGTTAAGATGGCGGTGCTTGGGCGACGACCTGGAGCAGACTTGAAGTATGCAAGTCAGCTGCTGATGGGAGGCGAAGAAGCTCACAAGGTCATGAAGACAGCAATATATACAAATGCTCACTCCAGTTCTTCTCTAGGAGATGCAAAATTCAGAAGATCAATGGTTATTGAAATCATAGAAAAAAAATTTGAGGATCTTAGGAAAGACAAGACCTTAGATCTTCATGGAATTGCAACACTTGCAACATCATCTAGTTTCTCTGGAATATTGTCAAACTTTGTTTTGAGATACTCCTTGAATGTTAAACATGATGCTTTGAAGACATATGCATCATTAACTGCACTTCCATTTTTGTCTACCATAGTTACTTACAAGTTCCTTGTAATTGATACTTTGTATTCAGGTAATATAAGCAAGGACAATTGTGTTCTGAGAAGTTCACTGGTTAGCATAATATGTGGTGTTATATATCCCAGTGGTTTGGCTTTTTCTAAAAATGGACGCCTGGTAGTCAAGTATCATACTGTTCCACTGCCACAGAAAGGAAGGGTTTTACTTCATTGGTTCTTACTTTGTCACAAGAACATAAAAGGAATGGTAATTCCCCTAGTGTTTATGACAGCATTTGGACTATTTGGTGGTCTACAGCACTATGGAATATTTTAAAAAACACGTGAGAAAACTGTACATGAAGATTGAAGAATGTGTGGATACTAACTCAGCAGTATACATTTTATATGATGAAGACTCAGGCATTGCTGAAAGAATAAAACTATTTGTCCTTTTCCCTGTTATATAGCAAATAATAAATATTTAGTAATTCAATAAATACAACCGCTAAACAAATAAAAAAAAAAAGAAAAGAAAAAGGCTGGGGATATAGCTCATTGTGAAGGCCCTATGTTCGGTCCTCAGTAATATATTCAGTTACACACACACAGATGCACACACACACAAAAGGTAGGTTGAGAAGTTGAGTGAGGACCAGCCTCTGTACTAGTTCTGTAAATCTGAATTCAAAATAAATGTAGGTTCTATTTCTGATTAAGATGAACTAAGAACATCCTAGCCTGCTTCTTCCACTAAATGCGACTAAAAATCCTGGGCAGAGGCTGGGGATGTAGCTCAGTGGTACAACACGTGCCTAGCATGCTCTAGGCTCTGGGTTTGATCCCTGGCACCACGAGAGTCAGGTTGGCTAATGAGCATCTCATGAGATTTTAGACACAGCCAGGTGCAGTGACGCACGTCTGTAAACCCACCTACTCAGGAGGCTGAAGCAGGAGGATCACAAGCCTTAGGCCAGCCTGGGCAATTTAAAGAGACCCTAAAGGTGCAAATTTCCAATGATGAATGTCATTATATTGTATACCTAAAATGTACCAATGATTAGAATGAATAATCGATAATGTAAAATAGGAAGAAAAGGTCCAAAGGGGTAGGGGTAGTGGGAGGGGCAGGGGAAAGGAAAGAAGGGAAAGGAAAAATGATGAGAAATGGAAAAAATGGAAATAAAGTCTTTGTAAATAGGGAAGGGTGGAGGGTGTGAAGGGAGGGCTAGGAATGGGGAAAAAATAAGAACCAAGATGCATTATGTAAAGGTACAATTCGCAATGAGAAATGTAATTGTGTTGTATACCTACAAGGTACCAATAAAAGAATTTAATTAAAAAAAAAAAAGAGACCCTGTCTTAAAAATGTTTTAAAAGAAAGGGACAGAAATGTAGTTCAGCACTAGAGGCTTGCCAAACATGTGCGAGGCTCTTGGCTCCATCCTCAGTACTGGGGAACAAATGCTACCCATAAATCTTAATTAAAGAAATGCAAATCAAAACAACTACTTTAGTTTTTCTAATTGCCAAAGAATTAAAAATTTGTTATAACTAGGACATGGTGGGAATAGAAAGTCTCTCTTTCGGTATGCATGCAAATTAGCAACTCTTTTGGGAGATAATTTAACAATGCCTAACAATTCAGCAGTATTTAGCATAATTTAAAAATGTACAAACTCTTTGATCCAGCAATTCTACTTTGAGGAATTTATCCCACAGATATTCTGAAACAATGGGTAAACATGAAAGTAAAGGAGCAGGCATGGTGGCACATGCCTATAATCCCAGCTTTTGGGAGGCTGAGGCAGGAGGATCAAAGTCACAAGTTTGAGGCCAGCCTAGGCTGTATAGTGAGTTCAAGGTAAGCCTGAATTATACAGCAAGAACTGTCTCAAAAAACAAATAAAAAAGAAAAGGGTTTCCTTGTACTATTGCTTGTTTTGTCCAAGTGTTAACAGGGTTCTGGGCTGGGCTGGGCTCTTTCTAGAGAATCTTTCTAGGTACTTGCTGTCCTGAACAAAGAATTGGACAACATACAAGCAAAAGGTAGCGAGGTTTTACATTTATCAAAGGTAAAAGAAAAAGAAATATGCTCTGCAGAGTGAACATGGACCAATTAAAGGTGGGAAATGAAGTATCTATAAGGTGGGAGTGGGCCACTGAGAAGGAGAGAACACAGTGGTGGAGGCTGTCTTTTGTATCCCCACTCTGACGTCGGATCTGGGCCATCCCATCAAAAACTTGCTTGATCTCAAGGCAGAGGAACTGAAAATAGCGTTTTCTGATTGTTCCACGTACAGGGTTTGGAAACTGTGTTCTGCTCTCTGTGACTGACAGATCACATCCATTGGCCCAGATGGCCTGCCACACCCTAATCTCCTGCCTCATAATGATAGGAATTGGCTAGGTAGGGTTATCTAACTTACAGCCCAGCTTTACCATGGCAGAATGAGGTAGAGCTATGGATACTGGTGTGGAACGATCTCTCTGTGACAGTCATTGTTAAAGATGCTCCCCAAGGTCTGCCTTTCTTCTCCCTTTCCATACAGGATAGGGTTGCACTTTCCCACCCCTTTTGAAGACAGGTGTGGTCACGCTGCTTGTGGCCAGTGAGAGCTCAGCAGAAATGACGTATGTCCTCTGTGGGGGGGACGGCTCATTAAGTGCTGGTGTGTAACATTCCCTTCTCCTGGCCCATGTCATGCACAAGAGGTTGAAATGGCACCCAGATCTCCTAGCACCCTCTTGTGTGCCTCGGTTGGAGATGTAGTCTGACTGGGAAATAAACATTTGTAATTGGTTTTTGTTTGTTTGTTTGTTTGTTTTGGTACCAGAGATCGAACTCCAGTCCTTGTGCTTGCAAGGCAGGCGCTGGAACCACTGAGCTAAGTTTCCAGCTAAACATTTGTAATTGTAAACCACTGTGCATGTTTCCTATTCCCTTAGCATATTCCGGCCTGTCCTCCGTAATAAAATCTCTGCAATAATTGTGAAGTGAAAAAAAGAAAAAACCTGAGTGTAAATAGAGTGATCTCATTTGTGTGGACATGTTTGTGAGTTTATATGCTTAGAAATTTCTGAGCTGGGTGTGGGGGTGCACACCTGTGATCCCAACACTCTGGGAGGCTGAGCCAGGAGAATCAGAAATTTGAGCCCAGACTGGGCTACTTAATGACTTAGCAACACCCTGTCTCAAAAATTTAAAAAAGGGAGTAGGGGCTGGGGATGTAGCTCCGTGCAAAGGCCCAGGGTTCCACTCTCGGTACCAGAAAAAAACAATTCTGGAAGGAATCATGAAAACCTTAATAGAGCTTATAATAAAAGAGTTAAAAGAAGGAAAGCAATTTCTACTTTTCGCATTATAACCTTCTGTACTTTTTGGGGGGGGGTACCAGGGATCAAACTTGTGACCTTGCGCTTGCAATGCAGGCGCCAGAACCACTGAGCTAAATCCCTGGCCCAGTACTGTTTTTTTTAATGATTATGATAAGTTTATATTTAAAACTATCTCTTGGGCATGGTGGCTCAAGTTTGTAATCCAGTCACTTTAGGAGGCTGAGGCAGGAGGATTGGTAGTTCAGCCTAGCCTGGGCAATTCAATGACTTAGCAAAACCTTTTCCTAAAATAATAAATTTTAATAAAAGGGTTGGGAATGTAGTTCAGTGCAAAGGTCCTGGGTTTGATCTCCAGTAAAAGGAAGGAAAAAAGGAAGAAAAATACTGTAGGGCTAGGGTGTAGCTCAGAGATAGAGCACTTGCTTAGCATGCTGAAGATGACCTTGGGTTCCATCCCTAACACTGGAAAACAAAAGTAGCTAATGTTTCCCCAAAATTTCTACAACAATGTTCATAGCAGCTTTATTTATAATAGCCCCAAACTGAGCATAGCTCAGGTGTCCGTCTGTAGTAGAATAGATAAACAGATTGGCCTATAGGCACACAACAGAATCATATACTGGAATGCTATATCATATAAATATGAGTATCATATCATAAGAATATGGAATCCAATGGAATTCACACAATGGAACGTTCACTACCCTGCAGTGAGAATGAACAAACTACACGTTAGCATGTAGTTTGAGGAAGAGAAGCCATATGCCAAATGTGTGTTAGTTTACCCAGGCGTGGCAGTGCACACCTGTAATCCCAGCTCTTTGGGAGGTTGATGCAGGAGGATAGAAAGTTTGAAGCCAACTTGGACTGGCTATTGAGATCCTACCTCAAAAAATAAAAAGTTAGTAAATAGAAGAGAACCGAGGGGGTATGTGGTCAGGATGTAACTCAGTGGTAGATTGTGCTGGGGTTCAATCTCTACTACCCCACCTCCTAAGATATAAAATTTATTTCATTTACGTGAGTAACAGTAATTATGATGTTAGACCCCAGCCTGTAGTGATCTGGGGCGAGGGATGAGGGGCGCGCTGGACTGGGAATGGGCTCCATTGGGGGGTTCCGGGGTAAAGGCCGGCCGGATGTGCTTACTTTGTGGAAATTTAGCTCATGCTCTGTGCATTTTCCCTTTACACAGGTTACACTTTAATAGTTCAAAGGCCAATCTAGTTAATATAAAGAATAAACAAATAGAAGCTGGCGCTTGGCGGGCGGTGCAGGCTGGCAGGAGCCTGCGCTGTCCCGGCCCCCGGTGATCCCTGTTGGCAGCGCTCCCCACCGGGCAGGCACGGGCACATTTGTGCAGTGAGGCCCCGAGGGCTCAAAGCTCTCATCTGACCCCCTGAAATCACACCCAAACGGGCTCTACTCCCCTCTCACCCATGACCTCAACGACAGTCGCTTGACGTTGCATCTAAAATCCCTACATTGACATCCGCAGGAATTCTAGGTGGCGACCAGAACGTTCCATTGGGGACAAGGTGTCCTTGGCAACCAAGACAGCAGCCTCTTTCTACTGCAGGCAAGATGGAGCAAATAGTCTCCAGCAAGAGCTGCTGGCCTCTTGGCAGATGCTAAATTAGCTTCCTGTGAAGACTCTGTTTTTAACCACTAAAAAAAGATCCAATTTAAGCAATTGTATAGAACAAAGAATCTAATGCAATACAATATTGTTTCATCCATTTTTATCCAGCAGTGGTTCTGAAGTGTGGTTTGTGGACTTTTGGGGACCCCTGAGACCTCTTCCGGGGTTCTCTTAGAAGAGGACAGGGATTTTTTGGGAAGACATGATGTTTGCTGTCAAAAGGCACTGAAGGGGGAGGCAAAGACTCGAGAGATTTGCAAAGATATGAAACAATGCTGTTCTTCTAATTTTCTTTATTTCGAAAAATATAGTTATTTTCATAAAAATATATTATTTTTGCTAATATACAATGCATT